CCCCGCCCTCATCGCGGTCACGTGCGCTGCGCATCTCCCTCATTAAGCCTGTTTGTTTAAAAGGCGCGCGGCCGGCGGGAAATTGGGAGTCGCGTTGTGTAATTTGGTGGAACGAGATGACCGCGAAGAAGGGGCAGGTGGAAGCGAAAGGGAGGGGGCGTTACCACAAGACCATGTGCACAAGTGACAAGAGCTGTGCAGAGTGCTCTCAGGAGACCGGACAGCTGCATGGGACCCGAGCGTATTCCTTGAAACGGAGACCGGTAGCTTTGTGCCTCTGAAGACGGAGGACACAACGGAGACGACGACATGCGTCTGCGACAGGGAGCAATGAAGGACCTTGTGCTGACACTCAGCTGCGTCTAATACCTCCTATCAGCGGCTCCCATCGGCGCCACCGCAATTATAATATTAATGGGATAAATTGTTCGTCCCATATAGCATTAACCAAATTAATGGCATCACACAGATAACAGCCCGATAACGCGCATTGTCCGAGATTGACAGGAAATAGCGTCCGAATAAGAAATGGAAATGGGGAGAAATGACTGTAATTTTCGGCCGGGGCGCGCCTGCGCTTCCGTTAATTAAAGCGCCGGGAGAGGCGGCCGGGCCGGGGCGCCGGTTTCGTTTTCCGTGTTGGCGGCCAGTAAGGAAGCGTGCGCGGCGCCATCTGGCGGCGCCATCGCATCGGCCGATGCCATCGCGGGGGCGGCCGAGCGCTGGCCGGCGGATGGCGCCGGCGCGACTTCCGCGAGCCAGATTAGATGAGATTGAGATTTTTTTCTCTCTCTCTCTTTCTTTCTTTTTCGTTTTAGCACCAGAAATAAGGAAATCGTAAATCTAATGTTTGGAGGGCAACTCTGCTATATAGGACGGAGACCGTGAAATTCTAATTTCCGGAAGTGCGTATATAACGTAATTTCTTCATTATCAAGTTTACGTTGAACGATAAGGAAGCGGCGGACCTTCACATTACCGTAAACAAATTCAAGAGGTGGAATTTGTAAAATTAGAACAGGTCTGCTTTACGTGAACTTTATCGCTTTATTATGTAAAAGTAAGAGACTAAATGTACCAATAGTTACTCCAACACCCTTGTGTACATTCCTCATGTGTTACAAGCTCTGTCAACACTCATTCTCTTGGTTTTCTTCACATATTTCTCTTTTTATTGTCCACAATAATAACAAAAAATTATTATATGAGATTTGTACGTAAATGAAATACTTGTATTTTTTACAAGTTAATCAGTCTGTAAAATGATTTAAAATATAATTAACATACCATTCAAGTATTACAGAATTTGTACTTTTTAATTTAATTTGTCAGAAAGTCTGTTCGGAATAAAGGGACTACCATTGTGAAGTAAATGAATGAAATATATATTTTCCGCTTATGGTTTACACATAGATAAGCTACACTGTAGCCACATCTAACTCATCATCACTTCATAACAACATGCAATTTTCTTATTTCAAACGATACGGTAAGAGTAAAAAAAATATATTCTTACTTTTTGCTCATAAAAGTAATTTAATATTCTTTTCCATTATTAATGGGCATTTTATTACATGCACAATTTGCATTAACGTAAAAAAACTCATTAAGAAAGAACATCACTGGAGGGAAAATTAAGCTGCTGGGAATAGAATATGACACACATACCCACACGTTTGGCTCAAGTGGCCTTCCGACGAAGCCGATTCCCTGCAATACATTACATATCTTTTCTCACTAGAACATCTCTGAAAACGGTTAATTTATTAGTATAATCTTCGTTTTATTGCGTGTGATGAGAAGTAATCCTGTTGAATTCACGAGAGGTTTAAAGGACATCCGAAGATAAAGAAGGTCATTCTGAGATAATAATAATAATCTGCAGATCCTATATTGTAACAGTTATTCATGCACTAACGGCGTTTGAAGGGTTGTACTGATCCAGAGGCAACAAAAAGTCTCCGGCCCAAAGGACTTTGGGCATTTTGTCGCCATTCGTTCATTAGAACCTGTGTACATAATTGGTACACACCATAATGGTACATACCAAAATGGTACATACATAATTTTATTTTTATAGCTTCATATTTACTTATTTACTAATTAACGAGAAGTTGACTCGCTTTGTCTCTTCGTAGTTCCCTCCCATAATTCCCTTTCATAATTCCTACCATAAGAGAACATGACGCATCATGTAGCTCTTTTCATTTTTCCCTCATGAAGTCAGTAAGAAGCTACCAAGTAGTATCAGTAAAACATAAAATAATAAAATAATATTTCTTGACAAGAAGCAACGCGTGTTGCACTCACCGAGGCTGGCCGTCATGCTCTCGAGGTCCTTGGGCTTGCGCTTGCGCGGCCGCCCCTTC